AGATCTTTTTTTAGAGTCATTTATGCATATGTTTCATATAAGTTGGTCGTTCGATTGATTAACTTGGTATTAGTCTTTTGTTCTATGTGAACGCCTTTGAAAAGATTTATGCGTTATCCTATATGATATTTATATCACATGTTTATTTGCTCTTGATTGATTATTGCGATTATCTGCTTCTATTTGGTTGTTTTTGACCTTAGCCTCAATTAGTATACGGAGCATGTATGGTTTTGTGTTTCGTGCCCAAACACGAGATAAGGTCTGTGATTCCAATTTTATTGGTTACCTTGATAATGTAAGTATAAACTTTGTGTTTTATTTACTTGCAAGTTGATTATCAAGGTGGAGATTTGTTCGATTTTGATACCCTATAAATTCAAACGATAATTTAAAGTAGATGTCGGATAATTTATCGACATCATAGACTTGGTGTGACCCAGAAACGACCAACACTTCTAGAAGGCCTACGTTATTGAGTTGGATCATTGGGTTTAGATAGTACATGTGGATTGTTGGCCCAAGTGGTTTGTTATTTACCTTGTCCCGCATTTAGCAAATGATCTTAGGCATATAAGTTCTCCTCTCCTAGCCGTGTTCATGTGTCTGTGTGTGCGCGCGCGCACGCACGCACGCAACAGAGGAGAGAAAAACAGAAAGATGTAGTCGAGAGTTTGAAGGTTCTTGTGTGAGATTCAAACATTGCTTTTTTTCCATTTTCTTCCTCCCTTTGCAAATCACCACCACCATGGTGTTCTTCTTTGTGGGGGTAAAGAGAGAAGACTCATGGCAACCCAAGTGTTTGAGAGTTTTAGGTCGAGCTTGAAATTGATGGTGTGCATTTGATTGGTTTTTCTTAGCTCAGAACTAAATATTTCTCTAGGGATTTCCGCAACAATCATTATTTCGAATTATTACATATTTAGCTGTTGTTTGATCTCTATTTCTTAAAAAAAAAAAAAAATTTCAAATTCTTTTTCTATCACACGTTTTATGGAACTCATAATTTTTATTAACTTTTCAACTATATATTTCATCAAAAACTATACACTTTTATCAAAATCTATCAAAAATTTGATTTTTATCAAAATCAAATAGGGGGTTAGGTTACTTAATTCTTAGTGTTTATGAGTTAAAATCATTCAAAAACTATACGAGTTTTACCTTCTTTTAATTATATTTCAATGCATCGTTTATATCACATTAATCGCGGCTAGATTTGTTGCTTCGACTAATATCTTGATTGAAAGCATTTCCAATAGACCTCTGAAAATAAGGTACTCTTTACTTTAGGAGAGTCAATGCTTCAAAATTTCAAGAAGCTCTTTATTTTAACTTTTAAAATGGGTTGCATTGTGTTTACTAATACAGATTTCAATACTTCAGTCTTTAAATTATACGATCATTTACATGTAAAAAAAAAACACGTTAAATTATGATAGCAATTTGGGACAAAGATATCCAAGTCAGATTCAGTACTAGAGGCGTCTCGATCGTGCCACTTATTGTTGTGCATTTATTTAAGTCATTAATTATGGGCCAAATTATGTATGAATTTTTCTTCCCCAAGGTACTAATCATTATGCAGCAATGGCCCAAGGCTTGACTGGTACCGTAGAATATAGGGAACATTTCTTAACTAAGGGATTTCCTTTTACCAATTTCAAATTTAAGAGATTGTGTTTAAAATTTCAAATCTCAAATTTTTTAAAATTTTATTTATAAATAAATAAATTAAATATATATATTATTAATTAAATATATTAATGCTACAATTTCATATAATTTGGTCACAAATTCTATATAATTGGTCACAATCACAATTTTCATATGTCAAATTATTTTACGATCCAATTCAAAAAATTTATAGGTCACAAATAAAAAATTTATCTGTCACAATTTATTCATTGATCATGAACTTATCAAATTAATAAGTCACATATTATTTATTGGTCACAAAATATCTAATTTATTGGTCACGATATCAATTTATCGATCACAATATCAATTTATCGGTCACAAATCACCAATGTTAAAGTCACAATTCAATTTTTTAGGTCACAAAAATATACAATTTATTGGTCACAGTCTCAACTAATTGGTCACAAACACTGCACATCCCAGGTTCAACCTACGCACCANTGGTCATGAACTTATCAAACTAATTAGTCACATATTATTTATTGGTCACAAAATATCTAATTTATTGGTCACATTATCAATTTATCGGTCACAAATCACAAATGTTAAAGTTACAATTCAAATTTTTAGATCACGTATTATTTATTTGTTACAAAATGTTCAATTTAATAGTCACAATCTCAAATAATTGGTCACAAACACCCCTATCTCATGTGCATCCCACGTACAACCAACGCACCACGCCATGATCACCACTATTATCACCAACCGACACCGCCAACACCATCAATAAAAATCAACCCAAACCCCCAATACCACCAAAATATGGAAACCACCACCACCACCACCACTCCAACAACAAAAATCAAAACCAACACCTCGCCACCACAGCCAGATCCACCACCACATGTAACACAAACGGGTGCTCCTCGACAACGACAACGACGATTGCAGCTTCATTGTTCATTCTCTGTCTCTCAATTTTTATGTGAGTGAGAGAGAGAGAGAGAGAGAGAGAGATATTTTTTAGGGTTTGGATGGGTAGATAGAGTATGGGTTGTATATAAATTAATTTATAATATTATAATTAATAATAAAATATTAATTTATA